CTAATGAAAACTACGACAGAATCTTCGACCTATTGAGTACTGTTACTTGTGAAAAGGGACATAAATGGGGAGAAGTCTGGTCTCCAGCAGACTTGAGCTGTCTTCCAAGTGAAATCAACAATAATCATGAATATGGGTGCCCTTCATGGGGTAAAAATGAAGATACATATTGCAATTCTGAGAGATCAGCTTCGGACGCTACATCTCCATAATAGATATGGAACACTCGCATAAGATTCACTTATTACCCCATTTCGCTAGGATTGATCCGGAGTGATCAATCTATTTATAAATATCAAAGGATTAAGTATTCGGGCGGTGATTAATCGCGTGTGAGGGATGCGCCCTGCAGTCGACTTCCATTCAGAATCGTAAGGCGCATTGAATGCGGAAGTGGCCTATACAATGACTGGCCAGCCGATGCACGAGCCAGTGGCTTTTATCCTCCCAGGCGAATCTGGTGCCAACTAACTAACCCGGAATAGAAGGCTTGATTAGCCGAATATCGATCTGGGATTCGATCAGTGACAAGATGTGCGGTGGGTGCCGCTCGCCACTGCGCCGTTCACCCATTTTCATAGATTAGTAGAGAACAGGTTACCCCGAAATACTGGGGTAACCATATTGGAACATATAGCAATCACGAATTTGATGATGGACTATGACGATATCGATATCGATATCATGCTTGAGTAACATCAGGTTCCTTTTTTCTTTATGATTTTAGTACTACGGTACGTCACTTTAATAAAGTATGATTGCCATTTTTAGCGTTTTCGGAGAATTTCCAAATTGTGAGCTACACTTATGTACGAAAAATTACCATATTCGCCAGTAAGCGTTATAAACTTCATCCATAGCCAATGGTGAAAGGCCCAGTATATATTCGCCCATTGTACCGAGGCATTCCGGAACATAGGTTATCTGAAAAAATTGTTCAGTTCAGTCAAGCAGAAGTCCACACAGTTTTTCTTTCGTATTACATCTAATTCTACTCCAACTTCAAGGCTTTTCAGAAGAATTTTTCATTTTCTGGATTTTTTTAGTTCCCTTGCCAGTCAGTTCATCAGAACCAGCTGGTAATCGGTTGCTGAGTTCGGCAAGCCGTTCGGCGGACAGACCGACCACCTAGCGAAAAATGGGAACGAGATGGAAGCAAATTGAATTCACATCGAAAGAAAATGAGAAAGCGTCAGACGCTTCCGTGTCTGAGCGTCATTCACCAACCTCGAACTCAAATGGATGAGTGAACTTCGTGGCTACACCGAGGAGTACACTGCCAGCAGCTATCCGGTTCCTAAAATCAAACGATAGATAGTTTTTAATCAGTATATGTCAAAAGCTTGGTCTTATGAATGCCTTCGAAATCCGGGCTCAATTCAAGGATATATGAGCCTTATTTATAAGCACTGCGACTCTATCGTATACCAACATTACCCAATTTCCGAGATTATGACTTCATTCCCAGAGACTTTGTGGCAGTTCCGCTCTACAAAACCGATAAGATGGTGGAACGTATGGGAAGTTAGGGAATACCAAGACCAGTTCCCAGCATATGGTGGGAATAAAAGCCGCAGTACGTAGAGCTTGGGATGCCCAGAAAGTCTCATAACCTCTTTAGGAATGGCGGCCATATGAATGCAACTCGGATCTCTTGAATTTCATCAATTGAAGCGGCATCGAATTGCTGTGCAAAGGTTTTCGGGAGATAACTTTAAGTTTACCTGTTTCGATTGAGAAACTTTGTGGCTTGTGGATGAACGGTCACACAGTATCGTTCGAAACTGGCTGCTACCATAAGAAACGATGAAGCCGTCATAGCGATATGGGAAATCGTAATCATCGGAATCATGTAGGTGAACCTGAAAAGTCTCTTTCGAGCTGACGTCTACTTGCCACAGAGTTGCTTTTCATTTTACTGGTATGCTCTGCTGTAGTCTACTTCTCTACTCAAAGACGGAGCAGTTATTCTCCATCAGTGTCCCTCCACATTATCAGCCTTTCCAACTGATTAGGGTATTCTGTCTGCGAGCTTCATAAGTCAAAAAGGGTCAGCTGCTACTTATGCACCTGAGATAGAAGATAGTGTGGGATAGAAGACTACCAGAGTTGCACGGATTTTAGGTTTTGACGATGAATTAACAACCCCTTTTTAGGGTCCAAGGCTTTCCAACTTCAAATTTCGAGAGTGAAAGCTTTAGAAACGTCAGACGTTCTTGTGATATTTATTGTGAGAGATAAATTTATAATTTTATCCCACTTCAACACGGACTACTGCGAGGAGTCGTTTCACTCCTTACAAAAAAAATCTCAATCTAGTCTAAATTATTGCTTGATCTTGCATCCTTGGAGAAGGACCATGGTAACTGTTTACCTGTAGAAATCAAAGGGAGGGGACCAAGTTCTTTAGCATTGATCGGTCCCCTTTAGAGAAGCTCAAACTCGTTCGCCTTTTATTCAAAATTGTAATGGGCCTACATATATGTACAACGGCTGGCGATGGCTAGCCGATGTACAAGCCAGTATTTTTGAAGCCGGATTGCCTGGGTGGCTATCAATCTGGGAATCGATCTCTTGACCATCCGTGTGATGATGACGCTTCTTCGCACCTTAGGGATATTCATAAAAAACGAATGTGAAACTTTTTTGCTTAGAAGTCACATGGGGATTGGAAAACGAAATGCAGTTCATTTAACAGTTGAAAAAAAAAAGAAATTCCATTTGTTTTTTTCTGAGATCCCTCTCAAAAAACGGACGCAATCATAGCCTGCTTTCATTATCAACAAGAATTTAAAGCGAAAAAAGTTCCATTCTTTTGCAACTATTGCAGGAAAGCATCCATGAGCTGCANCGTGTGATGATGACGCTTCTTCGCACCTTAGGGATATTCATAAAAAACGAATGTGAAACTTTTTTGCTTAGAAGACACATGGGGATTGAAAAACGAAATGCAATTCATTTAACAGAAGAAATTCCATTTGTTTTTTTTCTGAGAGCCCTTTCAAAAAACGGACGCAATAATAGCCTGCTTTCATTATCAACAAGAATTTAAAGCGAAAAAAGTTCCATTCTTTTGCAACTATTGCAGGAAAGCATCCATGAGCTGCACTTACAATCAGTAATGTCGTCCGGGACACATTCCAAAGAGTATTTTACAGCAGTAGTGACTTTTTGTGGTGAAATTATTCAGAATCCTCCTCCCCCCCCCTTTCCGAAGAAATTTTAAGTTAAGCAGAAGCTTTAGAAGTCTAAATTAGCCTAATTGGGGGCTTTGCCGTGCGTGATAATTGTCATTAGCGCATACAAGTATTCCCTGAAGAAAATGAATTATTTTCAGCTGTTACTTCGAAGATTACTGTTGATTTATCTTACGCAAGCAGTCGAAAGGACAACACTCAAAGATCTCTAATACACTCAAGTGCAGAGGGGAATCTGGAGTTCTCTGCTCCATCAACGAACGAACATCAGGGACGCCTCGCCTATGCTAAGAGCTCGAAGATCAGGTGGGCCGGACACGTTGGACACCCTGTGCGATATCGTGATTGCCGTTGGACCAGAGCAGTCACTGTCTGAATTCCTCGAAACGTCAAGCGAACACCAGGATGGCCATCAATCGAAGGCCAGACTTCTTTGTAAAAGCTTTGAACGAAAGGAATGGTATGCTTCGAATCCTTCGAGCAGTGACGATTCACTAGACTACTGTGGCTCGCGAAAGGGACGAATGGATGCGCTCGCCCATTCGAGGAAATCGATAAGTTCCGGACGACAGGTTCCTATTTGACAATTCGTAAATAAGGATTTTTCCCACAGGACCTTTATGAGGATAGGTAAACCTGCTTTTTCAACAAACTCTACACAGGCTGTTAAGCTTAATCGGTAGTTATGATGTGAGTTCTAAGGGCTTCTTAGGCTCGCAAGCAGAGTTCTTGGTTCAACATACGATTTTAAAGAACGTCCGCTCCGCTGTGTTCGCGGAAAAGAGGAGGCTATTAAGGAGGAATCACAATTACGCCATGCACTTGTAGAAGTTGATTAGATCTCCTTCAAAATGCCCTTTCAATCTTAATTTTATTTATCGAGATTAAAATGGACTTTCTATTAATTTAGTCTAAGTAATTCTGGTGTATCTGGAAATCGCGTTCTGCATTTACGAATGCAGCTTCGAAAAATTGTGCATACTGTAGGAGTATTGTCGCATCATCAGTATTACTGTAACATTTATGAAGTCATTCTAGACATTTATGAGCGATGCTTTTTCTCTAATGCAGCTCTCAAATTCTTCTTCAGTTAGGTTTTTGACTCTGTCCCTGGGGTACCCAAGGACTCTTGAAACGAGCGGGCTTCCTCATTAAACAACGCTTCCAGCCTGCTAAGTTTTTCGACCGTCTAACCGGCAACTTTATTCGCTTTTGGAATCATTCGCATGAGAGGTCGTGATGATAGAATGGCAGTGGAATGGAGCCAATTTGGGTCTTGAACAGAAGCTCCAGTGGCAGTCCACTGCCACCAGCTTGAGCCTTCAGGGCAGGCGCTGTTTTTAGGATGCGGATGTTCGATGATGCTCAAAAAATAAAAACGGAAATGAGTAATTGAAGAGAAAGCAGAAAAAGGAAATTGATGCTTTTTGAAGACATGCTGGGCAGTAAGTGTTGGGAGAAAATGTCAGAGTTAGCAGAGGAAATTTCTCCCCCACATAAACATATGTATAGCACTAGAAGGGCCCCTCCTTTGGTTTATGGCTTGAAGTAAGTTTGAATAAAATTTTAAAAAAAGTGTTCAAATAATAAAATGTAACATACCATGCTCTCAAGAGAATCACAGATCTCCAGTAATCCACTACAAGGTTCAGGCTCATCAACGGTATATAAGCGCCCGCAATGAAAATATCGAAAAATGCCAAAAGGGCCAGATAAAGGCAATGCGATGAGCGATAAGATTTCCTGAAACTCGAAGATTGAGCTCATTAAGTAAAACCGTAGAAAAGGATAGAAAAGGACGTACAAGCTTCAGAATCAAATTAAATGTTCCCCCC